AAGAAGCTCCCCACCAGCACCATACCAGGCTTCACCCAAGTACAAGTTTTTGTTTCCAAGCTAGATTTTATAATTTCAGGTTCTCCTGTTCCTGGAAAAAAAACAAGAAAGCACAGGGATATGATATGCAATCATATCCCTCCTCCTTTCCATTTCCATTAAAAACAATTCTAGCTCATGCTTACTCTTTATCTTGATCTGCACTCGGTAAAAACCACTGGGAGGTAAAACATCTTCTAACAGTGTAGAATATAAGCGCAACACCCGCTGTGACACAGGATCAGAGCAGTTCTTTTCAAACCTTCAAGATCCAGATTTTTTCCTTTTCTTTATCTTAAGTACTTGAATATGCATGTATTTGTATGATTTTCTGTATTGCTACAATTTACAAATGCAAAACTGAATGCTAATGAAAATACATATGTGTATTTTCACATATGTATATATGCATATATGTGTATGCAAATGCAAATGCAAATCCTTTTCACTGGTATGCTTTAGAATCCAGTAATTTTTATTTTCCTTGCAGCCTTCTGTCAACAGCTCTGAGCACTAGTTTTTCCCAGAGTAGTTGATGCACCTTATGTGGCAGCTCTGGAATATGCATCATGACCTGCTGTGATAGAACTATGAGCTCATACTATTTTATCAAAGAGGACTGAATTAGAATTTAAAAACTCAGTTCTAAGTCTGATAAAATATTTTAAGTAGCAAATTAACAATACATTTTTCTGTAAAATTGTGCACTATCGAAAAGCTTGATCATGTTAAACAGTCAAATGACTTTGAAGTAAACTACTACTTCAGGAATTAGGAAATAGGTATTTGCATCCCAATTGGGGAGAATTCCTATTAATAAAATATATATAGTAGCAAATATGTACTTCCCTGAATTGAGATTTTTTTTTCCTGCTGAATTTTCTGTGCAATTTTATTGATAAGATGAAGGCTTGTGTATATGTTACACATTCTGAGTTCATGAGAAGCTATTTGCCTTATCCAACCTGAGGCTTCAAGAAAATAGGGAACTGGATTTGTTGTATTTAGAGGGAATGAAATTTAGAGAGGCTAAGTAGCATTATTGGGTTATAATGGCATTCTGGATCAGTGAGAGGTGGAAAAGATTAAATCTGGTTTTTAATTTTTGAGTGGAAAGGATTGACATTTCCTTCTTAATGTTTGAGTATGTGCAGTGTGCCCTGACATAGCCCATCTGTCTATTGCTGACCATTTTTACCAGGTAACTTCAAAAAACATGAAGGCTGATCAGGCAACAGAGGTTGAGGTGCTGATGAAGCTGCTAGTGACTGTGACAACTATACTAAAATATGTGTTTCTGCAAAGACTTGCAATTTTTATGTTGTCAGCATTCTACCCCAGGTACATTTAGAGAAGTATGACTACATTGTAGTTGCTGTGTAGTTTGAAGGCATACAAACACTTTGAATACTGAAATTGTATTAGACTCGTCAGTGCAGCATGACTCAATTTAATTTACTCTGTTTCTCAGAGCAGCAGGTCCCAGAAAAATGAATTGATCATCGTTAAATCTCCTGCTCAAGCACCTGAACTAGCTTGAGATCTCTACACTGTCTCCAAACCAAATTTAGGGTGCATCCAAAGCAGCCATCCACTTTGTGTACAGCCTTGAGCCTCTCCAATGTCTCATGTGGGACACAGCCTGGGCCGCTACTGATATGCAGAAAGAAAACTCTATAACCCACAGAGTAAGTTATAAGAGTAAGTATGTATTTATTCAGCTCTGAGGTGCATGAGGGATATCTCCTGCAAAAACATGCACAGCCTGGAGACTTGCCCCTCTCTTTTTATTCTCTGCAAACTAGGGTTACACAATACACCTAATACATAATCCATTTCCTAAACCCGCCTGTCCCTGCTTCATATTAAAATTAGCTCCATGCCTCTTTGCGACTGTGCACTGCTCCTTGTTGGTCACTCTGGTGGTCATCTGGGGGTCTTTGGGATGAAGTAATCAATCTTTCTCGCAATTGAACTTTTCACCTTGTCTCCTTGTGCATGCTCCTTTTAGTCCTTTGACCGTCTTTCAGACTTTTATACCATTTTTCCCAGCTTAGGGGTCCAAAGAATCCCCTTATCCTGTTTGTGCATTCTAACTCTTTACCTTACCTTGTAGTCTTGCTCTCTTCCTGCTCTTGTGGGAGCAGTAAGCATCTCATATGGTTTTGTCAGCCCTCCCTCTTTTAGTCAAAGCATTTCTTGATGCTTGATTCCTAATTATTAATTTCTCTGTTTCACTACTGCCTGTGAGTGTTGCTGTAACACATACCACCCCTCCAGTAGAGCTGTCTTGGTTTGGAAGACAGGTGTCTGGTAGGGAGGGCAGGAATTACTATAATTTTGAAATCAAGGGGCTCTCAGGAAGAGATCTGGGGATAGGAATAACAGTTCTTTACTAGTGTGTATAACGAGGCACACAAACAACAATAACTACAGCATTAACAACAAAACAGAACCAGAGATCCTGTGACAGCCTTCTCAGCCGAGGTGGGAAGGGATGGAGGAGAGGCTTTGTTTCACAACCCCCTCGGGTGGGCAGTTCCGCTGCTCCTGCAGGGCTCTGAGGAACACTCGGCTGGAACAGCAGGGACGAGCAGAGATCCTGGGCTGGTGGACGAGTGAGGTGTATCAGCAGCTCTGCGGCGGTGGCTGGCACTGCCACACGTCCCGGCAGGACAGGGGGTGCGAGGCACACAGAGAAGAAAGAAGCAGCAGCAGCAGCTCCGTCTGGGTGATGGCAAATTCCCTTCTCCCAGCCACAACAGCTCTGAGAGAGTGTCTCGCTCTCCAGCCCAAGAAAACCAGCCAGTCCCCAGCTGCCCCCGTCCTCCCTGCTGGGCCCAGCCAAACTCCCTGTGTTTCTCAAGCATTCAACTAGTACCATCAATCAGGTTTCCCCACAACTAATGGATAAAAAATTCCACAGGTGAGACGGAACAAAAGGAAGGACACGTCCAACACCCAAGAGCTACATTCAATATAGTGAGTATGGCAATTGAAATTTGGCCAGAAGCAGAAACTTGTGAATCCAAAATTAGAAGCATCAGTCTTCATAGCCTGGGATGAAGGAATCAAGCTAAAGACAGCCCAATCCAGCTTTATGTGTAGAGGGACAAAAAATGCAACTAAGAGAACAGGAAGAGTGTGGCCAGCAGGTCAAGGGATGTGCTCCTCTCCCTCTGCTTTGCCCTAGTGAGGCCACATCTGGAGTACAGTATCCAGTTCTGGGCTCCTCAGTACAAAGAAAGACAATGAGTACCAGAGACAGTCCAGTCAAGGGCAACAAAGATGATGAGGGGTCTGGAGCACCTCTCTAATGAGGAGAGACTACAGGACCTGTTTAACCTACAGAAGACTGAGAGGAGATGCCAATGATGTGTACAAATATCTCAAAGACAGGTGCCAACAGGATGGTGCCAGACTCTCTTCAGTGGTGCCCAGCAACAGGACAAGATATAATGGCCATACATTAAAACAAAAAAAGTTCTACCTAAACACGAGGAAGAACTTTACATTGAGGGTGGCAGTGCTCAGGGAAGTCATGGAATCTTCCTCTCTTGAGACATTGAACACTGATCCTGTGGCAGGGCTTTGGACCAGGGAATCTCCTGAGGTCCCTTCCAATCCTAAAAATTCTGTGATTCTGTAAAAAGGAGTAGATATAACTTGCACATGGTAGACATGACATGTTTTAGATAAAAAACACTGCAAAGAAAATGTAATAAATGGAATTGATTTGTGCTAACTAAATTTTAACTATTTGGAAAGTTATTATTAGAAGCAATCAAAAGAATCAGTGTTACAAGGCAGATGCATTCCTTTACAGATGTTACATGTTAAAATTGAGGTACAGAATGCAGTTTGGAAGATAAGTGATGTCCTAAGATGAAATCGGCCTTGAGATGGACAAAATTAGAATGACTTTAGGCATAGGGCCTAAAAATCAGTAAATATAAGACTAATTAGTAGACTTACATAACACAACGCTTAGTACGCACGTGCAAACCTGTAAGGATATCCAAAGGACGAGGAAGAGGAGAAGCCTTTGTCCAAAAGACCACCAAAAGAAGACTGAAGACCCCCTAACAACAAGTGAAGCATGTGCTGTGAAGAATAGTGACATAAAATCAGAAAAATTGGAAATAGGAGGAAACTTACGGGAAACATTAATGAATATGTATAAGCATACAATATATAAGTTTAGCTTGAAGTGCTTTGTTTTGTATGTGAGGCAGGGTGGGGAACCCTCTCCGTACCCTGGTCAGTTTTGTACGTGAAGTGGGGTAACAAGCCCTCCCCGTACCCCGGTCGGTTTTGCTTATTTTTTAATCATACTTAATTACTGGTAAGTTATATATATAAATTGTATTTTTTACTAAATTGTACCCTTTTACTAAACTGCATTCTTTTATTCCAAATTACTATTCAACTTACTAAATTGTATTAATTTTTAATTAAACTGTTATTAGCTCAAGAGACCTAGTTGTCAAAATTCTAATTTCATTGATAACAGAAAATTTTACTTCTTTGGTTTGCCAGAGCAGAACACCAGAAAGGCTAAAGGCTTTGGAGTTTCGTTTCACGTTCCTGACACTTCGGCGTGGGGGTCTGCTTTGACGCCAGCTCTCCTGCACACCAGCACCCGGTACCGAGGTGACACGGCCAGGTCCGCTCCCGCTCGGCGCTCCCGGCCCGGGGTGTCCGAGTCAGCCGCTCCGGCGGGCCCCGCGCGCTCCGCCGGCTGTTCCTCCAGCCGCCCGTGCCGGCGGGCGGGCGCCCTCTCCGGGCGGGGCCAGACCGGGGCGGGCCGAGCGCCGTCGCCGGCCGGGGCGGCGCCGCCAGAGGAGGGCCCCGGCGGGTCCCGGCGCTCGCTGCCCCGCCTCCGCCGCCCCGCCCGGCCCGGCCCGGCCCGGCCCGTCCCGGTCCTCCTGCGCCCGCACGGACGGTCCGGCGGGCCCGCGGCCGCCATTGGCTCACGGCGCCATCCGGGCACTCGGCGCGGCGCCGCCGCTCGGCCCCATCGTCCCAATATGGCGGAGGTGAGCGGGCAGAGCGGGCCGGGCGCGGGGCTCGCTCGGCGCCCCGCGGGGCCCCGCGCCCGCAGCGCCCCCGCGCCGCCCCGGCACCCCCAGCAGGCGCCCCCGCGGCGGCTCGGCGGGACCGACGGGGGCGGCGGGGCCGGGGCGGCGGAGCCTGCGCGACCAGGCCGCGGGGCGGGCGCGGGGCCGGTGCGCGGCCCGCGGGCGGCGGAGGGGCAGCGGGACGGGCCGGCGGTGTCGCCGCTGCGGCGCGGGCCACGGAGAACCGCCCGGAGGGAGGGAGGAGGAGCGAGCCTCGGGTTAGGTGCGGGGCCGAGGCGGCGGCCGGTCCGGTTCGTGATACGACCCTCCCGCTCGTACGGGCCGGAGGGAGCGGGAGCGCCGGCCGGGCCTGGCGCGGCCCCGGGTGGGGGCCTTGTGCCAGGGGAGGAGGAGGGACGGAGAGCGGCAGGCGGGAGCGAGGGAAGGAGGGATGGGCGAGGGTGAGCGGGATGGAGCGGCCAACAGGGCGGGACGCTGAGGCTGGAGCGGAGCGGGGAAAAACGGGGTGGCGGGGAAACGGGGCAGCTCCGAGGGCTGCGTGAAATGAAGGGCCCTGCCTGCTGCCGGGCCGCAGAGACTCCGCTCTCATCTCGCTCTCTTTTTTCCCCTGCAGGCTTCCTTTGGGAGTTCGAGCCCAGGTTCGTCCTCGCCCACCTCCTGCATCGGCACCCAGCCTGTCGCCCGCACGCCGTTCTCTCCTTGCCGCTCCTTCCCAAATATATCCATCCCCTCGTAGTTTTCCTAAGGCTTCGTGTGCACGCTGTTAACTGCCTGCCAGGTTTTTAAGAGGAGATGTGCGCTACGGATTCCTTCACTTAAGTCCATTTGCAGTTAGAAATTGACTGCTTGGAACCAAAAATGAAATCAAAGTTGTGTAGCACTTTTAAGTCAGCATCTCAGTAAAGCCAGATAGGCTGGAAAAAGGCAGCTTCTCTTATTGCTGTTAACTGCAGTCTTGCTTAAATTTTTGACTTCTTGGTAATAGCAGAAAATGTTTAAAATCATAGCAACAAGTGATTTTTAAGGCTGTAACTAAATGCTGTTAAGGTTCTTTGGAATACAATATACAACCAAGCATTATTAACACCAGCAGGGCTATTCTCAAATATTTGGGGAACAAATTTGCTTCTATGCAGATGCATTCTGCAGTGTTCATCATCATCTTTAACTCTTAGGAAATTTGTTGAGCTTGTATTTTTCAGTATAGTTTTGAATATTTTCAATGGGGTATTGATCATTCAGAACTGCAGGAGAAGTGGGGCTTTTTAATGTAAAGTCTGTGGAACAGAACTTCCCATTGAGTTAAATGGAAAACGAGTTAGAAAAGCAATGAGAAGCAATGATCTTGATCATACCCTTATGAGTACCTGTTAGATTAAGGCAATTGATAGTTTCTTAAAACTTGAGCAGGATGTAATGGCCAACAGCAGGAGGATTAAACACATAATGTCATTATTGGACCTGTAGTAGCATTGTCAGCTCTGCTGAAAGTTCTGTGAGACCATAATATGAATAGCATGTGAATAAAAAGCATTTTTGGGCTGTATGTTTCTCTACAGTAACAAACTTTGACAGCTTTGTCTTAAGCAAGCTGAACAAAGTTCAATTACTTTCATGTACAGAATGAATGCTTAGCATCAATGATAAAAAATTGCATTCTTTAAGAGTCAGAAGCGTTGTTATTAACAGCTGTCTCAAGGCTGAAAGCAGTGCATAGAGGAATACTGTATTATTTTTTGAAGAGGGTTGAAGATTTGTAGTTATTTCTTCAAAAACTTTTGAAGAAGTTCCTTGATAGAACTTAATTCTTTGATAAACCTTGTCTGAAAACTAAGGATTGCAACAGAGCACTAGTAGTGAAAGAGAAACCAGAAGTGAAAGAGGAATATACTAATCTTTCTTCTCCAACCTGAAAATCATAAAGAAGTGAACATTAAAGAGCAAAGCAACCCTATGATTGGTGATTCTTCATTGTAGAACGCTGACTATTGATGCAGAATATTTTCATCTTGAAAATTGATTGACTCTTAATGTTTCAAATGACAAAGTGTGTTTAAAATAACAGTACTTTTTTGATGACTTCTGAGTATCATCTTCAGTAATTAAAAAGTGTCCACACATTTTAAAGTGGACCACAGAGCTATCACACTGGGTTGTTAATTAATGTGATCCATTAGATGCATTTTGTTATTTTTATTTTCCATAGTATTGCTTGAAAATTCTGCTGTGTTTATTCTTCTAGATGAAGTGCTACCAATTAATTTTATTAGAAGATCCATTTGTGAGGCTAAAGCAATTGGAAGCGAGTCTCACTTTATTTTGCTACTAGTAGGATGTGACCTCATAACCTAAGTTACCTGTTTGCCACTGGAAAACTATGCTTGTTAACATAAAAATCACATCAATAAAATCAGTCTATAGATCACAGTCTTGCAGATTCTAATATCTTTTGATGTATGTGCTTTGTATCTTAATGATGATTTCAAGGGTGTTTTGAACAAACTTTTATTCAGTATAATATTAATTTGGGATAGTACTTCCTGAAATTTAGTTTTGCTTGTTTAGGTACTTCTCCCTGCTATTCTGTTTGTAGCAAAAGAGAAAGATGTCCTTGTTACTTAAAAATATGAAAAGGAAAGGTCATCTAAAGCAGCTGAATTTGTCAAGTAGTTACGAATTTGTTACCCTGTTGAGAATTCTGACCCTCTTTGTAAGAGAGTTCATGCAATTTGTTTTTCCTGGGATTTAATTTTGTATGTTGGTATAGGGGAAAAAATTTCTTAAATTAAGTTTTTTTTGATAGTTGGCTCTTTGTCATCTGAGGATCATGACTTTGACCCATCTGCTGAAATGCTGGTACACGATTATGATGATGAACGAACTCTTGAAGAAGAGGAAATGATGGAAGAAAGCAAAAATTTCAGCTCTGAAATTGAGGATTTAGAAAAGGTAAGAGCAACTCTTTCCCTTGTGAACGTCCATACATATTGTAACTTTTCTAGTGAGAAAAACATTCAACCTGTCCTTCAATTTGTATAGTGCAATTTTCTGCAAAAATGCATTTGCAGCTTGTTGGAAAGAAAGGTTAGGATGCAGCAGTCCATCATCACAGAAAAGGCTGAACTTAGCTTCTCAAAGCTAAGTGTTGGTGCTCTTTTTTTTTTTTTATTTAGTAGCACATTTGCTTTGGTAGAGAAATCACATAGGACATAGGTTTTAGAGGCCTGTCATCTAACATCACTTGTATGTTGAAACTACATTTTGCATACTATTAAAATGACATCTAGCGGTGTTTCATTATCTTGGTCAGGTTTTACTTTTCCAATATGCAGACAAACAATACTGGTTTAGCCATGATGGGTCACATTAATTTGCTTTATAAATGATACTTCTATGGCTTAGTTTTATCAGTTTAGTATTCAGTGGATATACAAAATTATCAGTGTGCTCTTTGGCTTTTTCTATTCCATTTTACACGTCTTAGTAAGAAGTTTTTCTTATTTACACCTTTTGTTCATCCATGGCAGTATAGCATGCATTCTAAATGCCTGCTGAATGCTGAACACCCAGAAATTGATACTATTTGCATTACTCTCTTCATGACCCACTTACACTACTCAGCACGACTGCAGGTTTTGGTCAACAGACTTCCAAAAAAATGTATTTTTTAGCATCAAATACAAGGCTGTGTTTCAGTAGTCCATGTGAAAACAAATTTTCTATATACAGAGTTGACAGTGTTTATACTCCTGATTTTATTTTTTTTTTTTTGGCCTTACTGCCTTTACTTTTTTGCTGATGATGAGCTTGCTGTTATAGTAGTGAAGCAATTTGCCAGGTCTGATGGTCAAAATGGAGTTTTTACTCCACAAAGTTCTCTTACTGCTTCTATAATAGAAGAAAGAAGAACCAAGAAACACTCATCCTAAACACTTTATTACTCTAGGTCCTTATCCTGGAAAGACTTGGATATGAGTTTCCATTTACCCATTGTGAAAAGTCTTTGCCTGACTAAGACCTTGCCTGGCAAAAGAAAAAAAAATGGAATTTAATCAGTGTATGAGTTCAGCAATAAATTTTTAGTGGTATAACTTTTAAAGGTGTAAATATTTGAAGATATTTTTCATTCCCTGATGTCTTGATTCAGGTAATGAAAAAGAATCTGCACTGTTCTATTAATTGTATTAGGATGCAAATATGATGATAGTTATTAGAAGTTTGATCAAAAATTATCAGAAAAGCCAAGCTAAAAATCAAGCCTTTCTCTTGATTTTTGCCTTTTCATGGCTGTCTTTCTCTTATTACATTCTCAGTGGTTAATACACGTTCTGCAGGAGATGAAAAGAAGGGCTTAGAAGTTGTGTATTGGTTTACTTTTGTGGGAGTTTTCACATGTGCAGCTGTAACTATGTAGGAACAAAGTCTTCAAAGTTTTCTGTATTTCTCTTGAAGAATTATTGACAAATCCTGTTCTACAGTATCAATCAGATAATGGAGCAGATTTTTAATACTTTTCATTTTCATTCAGTAAAATATTTTCCCCTTCAGCTTGACAGAACTCACTGCATGCCAAGAGACATATTTACGAATTGCTACCATAAAATAATTTTAAATTAATATTTTAAACCTTTAATTATTCTTGCTTTCAGCTGAATGTTTGTTTTTTATTTCTGTTCTTCAAAATATGTCTTACTCTCTTAGGCCTGAACTGTTTACAAGTAATTGGCAATATGTTGAAGTGTTGTAAATCTTCTTGTATTAGGAAGGAAACATGCCGTTGGAAGATTTACTAGCATTCTATGGCTATGAACCCACAATTCCAGTTATGCCAGGTTCCAGTGCGAATAGCTCACCGAGTGAACTTGCAGATGAACTTCCAGATATGACTCTAGATAAAGTAAGTCAGAACATTTTCACCTGCATTGTTGTTTAAAAGCAGAAATACAGGTGGCTTTAAATTACGTGTCATAATCTCTTGATGCTACAAAATATATATCTTTGTTAATTTCAATATACATTGTCACTCTGGGATCCTACCTTTTCAAGGATGTTGGGCATTTAGTTCTAATGATGATGCATAGCAGCTTTAGTGTGTCACTATATTAGTACGAAGGAAAACTAAGTATGTCAATAGTTCTTCTGAAACACATGCGGAGGACTTTTAAGTAGGGGGTTTGTTAGTTGTTTTGGGTTTTTTTTAGTTAGGAAGTGGGATTTTTCGATATTAAGTGCAGTGTCCAGAAATGACTCTGACCTCCACCACACATCAAGTGCAAAAAAAAAGAAAATAACATGAAAATGCACTTCTGAATGTTTTTTCAAATGTTTATCTTTTAGAAAGGTCTCAGCTTTAGGGAGAGAGAGATTGTTTTATGTGTAGTGACTATATATGTTGAATTGCTGATACAAAACCCTGAAATTTCTGCTTTTGTGGTGTGCAAGTTAAGTTTAAATTCTGAGATTTTATTCTGATTTTTGGCCACAAAGCGTGTGCAGCTTGTAGTTGAGCTTAGAAAGTATGCAAGTAGTAAGTATATGTCTTTTTTTTTCCTATGGGTATGATGTAATGGTAAACTCCACAGAAAGAAGGATATAATGATGGCTCTGCACATCTGATTCTCATTAGGATTCACAATTGTGTTGAGGCTACAGAAATGTAGTCAGCTTGTTGTCTAATACAGTTCTTCCCCTTCCAAGTATCTGTCAGAGGGGTTCAAACATGTCTGCTAGTGGAGGAAGTATGCCTTTTCTTTCTTAATATTGTTTCTTTAACCTACAAAAATGTGTGATTTTTTGGGTGTTTTGTTATCTAGAACTATTCTCTCAGCAAAAGTCTACAAAAAACCTGGCTGGGTTTTTTTTGGTTGGTTGGCCTTTTCCACAGAGTTTAGGACACAGTAGCTTTTAAAGCTTCAGTATATCTGTGATGCAAAGAATGACAGAATGAGAAGTATGTGAGGTAGTTTCCATTGGTGTTTCTTACTGGAAGCAGCTGGAGGAACATCTGAGATTGATGCTTGCAAAAGTTAATTCTTTTGCATTTGTTTTAATAGAAGACAGAGGGGAACTGCTATGTTTGACTCTGAAATGAATGGCTTTATTCTTAGAGTTAGTAGGAGCAAACTAGCTTTTTATTTAAGGGAATATGATCTGCAAAATTTTCTTCTGGTAAGGTAACTCATTTTAATTAATGAGGCTTACAGTTAGCTGAATCTAAATGCTTACCAGTCTATATTTTATAGTCACTCTGGGGTTTTATTTTTTTATTTTAATGATACAGGAGGAAATCGCTAAAGACCTGTTGTCAGGTGATGATGAAGAAACACAGTCTTCTGCTGATGACTTGACACCATCAGTTACTTCTCATGAAGCTACTGACTTCTTTCCTCGGCCACTAAGATGTAGGAAACCTAATTTTGTAATAGTGCTTTATAAAAAGTCATAGCATTGTATATAGCTTCATACCTTAAAATACCAAAATTGAGGAGTACTATTCACTGTACCAGGAGTTGAGAAACAGTGCTTTGTAAAATGTTGTACATGAACATTGACTTTGGCTGGCATTACTGAGTACCTAAAAGACTTACATTTGGTTTTCTGCTCAAAGCACAATTAAAATTAATTTCTCTATGAATGCAGTAACTTCATAATCAATAGTTATATAGTGTTGAGGAACACCCTTCATGACTTTCAGTGTTAGTGAATTATATGGACATGTAACCCATTCTTTTAAATTAGTGTCTTTGTACTAAAATTTTTGCTGCTGCTTTTAAGCCAGTGACTCCTCCGTACAGCCTGTGGATGTGAACTGGGATGCAGTGTCTTTGTGATTATTTCCCTTCACACATTCAACACTTTTCCATATGGCTTTAAGGGGTGAGCCAAAGTAGTTTTATATGGGATGGGGCCTGTAAACCCATGACCACCAAAATTTCACTGTCCATTGAGCTGTGATGGGAAAGAACCAGTGGTTCAGTTATCCAGCCTGGATGAGATATTCCTCGTTGCCTGTTGCATCTCATTTGTTCACTGGTGTCCTAAAGTTAGAGCAGTGGGGAGGACTTCTATTTCAGTTTTAATTTGGCAAATATATTAACATATTCCATGGAGGATTTCATTTTTTTAGAGGAGGGAAGGATAAAAGGGTTGTGCTGCCTCAGTCACCAGCACTCATAGCCCTTTGCATACTGCTATCTGATAAATGCAGGACATTTGTATTGAAAGAGAGATAAAAAAATTGTAATGCCCCTTTCTCAGTTAAACAAATGCCAAAACATGCTGGCACTTGTGAACTGTTAATGAATATGACATTTTAAGTGTGGAAGTTTCATAGAAAAATGTCTTTAGCCCCTCATCTGAGGATTAAGAAACAGTCATCTTTGTTCTCAGCTGTCATGGTTTTCTTTCAAAATGTTTCTTTGTTAGAACATTCAGCTGGACATTTTAAAATCAAGTATCCACCATTTCAGGGAAGGAGATACCAATTCTCTGTGCTGTTGGCAGTTCCATTTTTTTCTGGTCTCTCTCTGTCCATTTCCCAGATTCTAAGATAACATTAAGTTTTAAGATATGCATTATCTAATACGTAATACAGATTGTTTCACTAAGTTCACATTAATTGGGCAGAATAATTGCCTGTGATTGTCCAAGCGTATTGTTCTGTTCGTTCAGGTTAGCCCCTTGCTTGCTACTTGTAAAACCAAAGAGAGAGAGGCTGGTGATTTCAGTAATGCCTACGGAAGAAGACCCTCAGTCCATGCAGTCTTAGATATTGTCTCTGATGTTCTTGATGTTTTAGTTGTGATGAAGCTAAAATTTCAGCCCAGTTTATGTTGTCTCTGAAGCTGGAGAATACAAAATAGCTGTAATCATGTCACAGCTGTAGATTCCCTTCTGCTGGGGATTATACAACAATAAAAATAGGACTGCTTCAGAACCCAGTACCACAGTGTCCCAGATTATCAAATGTGAGTTATTCTATGAAGTAATGTATTTGAATTGTTTGGAGGGCTCTGCTGTATTTCTTCCTAAGGGAAGGAAAAAAATTATTTAAGAGGAATAAGCAGTCCTTTTTTGTCTTACTTATTCCATTTTGTGTCTCTCCTTTATCTTCATTCTGTGCTAAGGCAGTCTGGTTTAAATGAATGTTTTGAATGCCCATTAAAACTTCTGATGAAAGGTTTTAGTAGGTAATAAAGGCATGCCTTTAGCTTTAGTCTCTGTGATTGACCTCAGGCTGTGTCATAGCCCTGGAAGCTTCCTGTTTTTTCTCTAGGCATAAGCTTTTATTGAGAATCAACAAAAAAATTATCTAATTTCCTTTTGACTGTTGGAAATACAGTAGATTGTGTCATTTGCAATGATGATAAATGTTTCGGTTCTGCAGTATACAAATACCAGTGTGTTCTGACTTAATTCTAGTTCGGTTTTGATAGAAATCTGGATCAATAGACACACAATAAGTGTCTCCCTGAATAAAAGCAGGTGCTCCTTTCAAAAGTAAATATTATCTTGTAGTTCTGTGCTTGAATAGAAAATTCTCCATAGCTAAAAGGAAACTTCTTTGTTTCTGAAGCAAATACCACATGTGACGGAGATAAGGAATCTGATGGTGAAGATGTAGAGACAGACAATGGTAATTCATCTGAAGATTTGAGAAAGGTAATAATTATATTTTTTAAAAGTTAGAACTTAAGAAAAATCCCGTAAGAGTTTTAGTATGTATCTAAGGTTGTACCTTCATTCAGAAATTCTATGTCACATGCCAGGTTAATGATGCTTTTTAATACTTCCATACACAAAATATCGTCAGTAACTTTTTATTTTTATTATATTTTCAGGAAATAATGGTTGGTTCACAATACCAGGCTGAAATTCCAGCTTGCCTTGGCAGATGCAGTGATGATGAAAAGCGTATGTTTTTCTAATTGTTTTACTTCCTATTTTATGTTTATACATAGCACTTAGTGGAAAAATGTTATTTAAATTTGTAAGGTCAATTCAATTACCTAGCAAAAGTCTCAGAGACCATTTAAAAAAGGGTTCTAGAAAATTGAAGCAGCACAACTGTATACTTAGATCTCAGAAGTGTGACTCTCCAACTTGGAGAGGACATTCTTAAGACAAAATTTGAGGGTTAATTCTGATGTGTCTGCTAATAGTAGGTGTCAAGTAACTGTAGGTCAAGAATGAGTACTTTTTTTGGAGAATCATAGCTGGTCTGTGAGCATGGAACTTAGTTTACATTGAAGATGTTCAGAACAGTCTTTTTCCGTGCTCATTTTTTTTGGCTGGTAAAACCATGTGAGATATAAAATTGCTATGGAAAACAAAGCAATAAACTATTTTAAATTTTCTTGGTATTTATCCTATTATTCTATATAATAGGTCCTGTTATATTGTCTCTTAAAAATGTAATGTATTAAATATGATGTTACTCCAGTACAAATTTATGTTAAAAATTGCTGTTGTGCTAGAGTGGAAAAAAGAGCCTTATGTAATAGAGTTTTATTTTGTTTCTTTAGAAACCTAATACATATAGGTATGGAATTGAAAAGGCAAATAATGCAAAAAGATTTGCTCATGGGTGGAACAGCTAGGAAATTAAGAAATGGGTTGGGTGATATAGTAAATGAAGGGCATTCTGTGGGTTTTTTTCTGCAAATTTTTGATATTCTGTAAGGTGCCTGTGTTCTTTAGCATTTAATGGGGATATTATATGAGTGAATTGTATTGAGTCTTTTCAACTGTGCCACCTGCTCTTTTGAGGAGTAATCCTTTGCAATAGAGAAGAAGGAAATGACATACCATTTGGTAGGAATGGAGCTGGAAGCGTCAGGAAGTGAATATCTCTTCTGTTGCTTAAGATCTAGGAAAGCCTCCAATTTCTTAAGATTCAAGCATGATGCTAATGGGTTGCAAGAAATGGAGGAGTAAGGACTGGATTTACATGGGTAACTCTTTTACAATTTCCACATCTTGACTTCTCCTCAGCCAAGAACTAAGGAAGTCCTTATAACCAGAAGATGACCAAGGAGGGGTTAATCTAACAATTTTCTCTGTAATGAGGTGGTAGTAGCGAAAAATAGTGAAAGTCTTGTCTGAGAGCATGGCCAAGAGCAAAGTAGCTCCCAGATCAGAGAGCTCAAGGAGCATCTTTTGAGGTTATTCTTGGTTAATAAAGAAAGCTGAAGAGGAGTGTCACCAGCACTCTGGAAGGCTGGGCTTAGTTGTAGGGGTGGAGAATTCTATGAAAGCCTTTCCTGTATGCCCTGAAGAGCTAGTGATGGCAAATAGGACCTTACATTTGTACTACGTAGTCCAGCTACCAGATGTGAGCTAGAAAGCAGTTCGGCACTCCTATAAACTTTGCACTTGTATCTTACCTGTCTGAAAGCTTTCTATGTTGTTAACCTATAAAAGAACTTTCAGAGGTATTATTTTATTCCTCACCTTAGCCTAATGTTGTTTCCTGCAGTTTTAGGAAAGCTTTAAGCACATCCATCTTTTCTGCTGTAGCAGCCATTATGGTTCTGTGTTTGAATTAAATAACTCAAGTTCTGTATTGTCAAGAGAGTACCTGAAACATGATGTGCAATGGTAATCACATCTATTGATCAAAATAAAGGATTTATCGTTTAATCTAGTATTGAAAGATGCAAAGACTGGCAAAGCTCCTGTCAGCTCCTGTGCATTTCCAATATATTGTCTTTGAGATAAGCTGTCTGGGAGTTGCAGATGTCATTTCAATGTACTGTGAAAGACTTTACATCGTAATCACTTAAAGCATTCAGCATACCAAATTCTTAACAGCATTCAGTTTCTACTGAATGGAAAATCTAATCACCACATTGCCATACAGATTGCCACTCTGTTAAGTAATTTTTGGCAAAGTTTAGTTGAAAATTAGTAAATAGCCAAAGTGATCATGCTCGATTTTATTACTTCTGTGTTCCTGTTCTTTGTATTTGTGAAATAGCTTTCAATGTTACAGCCTTAAAAATGTTACACCTGGCATGAATGGATTTCTGTTTTATCAGCTTATGAAAATGAAGACCATTTACTTTGGAAACCTGATGTGATCTCAGAAAGTAAAGTTAAAGAATACCTTTTTGAAACCTCCTTAAGAACAGGAAATGAAAAAATGATTGGCAGAATTCCTGAAGGACTACATACACGGGACAATGAGCAAGTAAGTTTTATATCCTGTTCCATTTGTGACACAGCACTTTGTAATTAACATGTGGTCTCCTTCTCTGCTTTGTATTATTAAGGCACCACTACTCAATGTCTGCATTCCTTAGTTGAATATTATGGGGTCAAGATCTTACTTAAAATTTTTAAGCACATTCTTAAAAATCTTGAGTATTTGAATGTTGGCAGCCTTGTGATCTGTGATGTTTCTGGTTGTCATACCGTTGACAAGTTCAGCCTTTTTAATAATTGCATATAGTGTTTTACATTTTTTTTTAGTTAAACAGCCTCAGCTTTTAGGTGGTTTTGGTTTTGACTCTTGTTTTTAAATTTTCATCATATGTAAAGATAAATCCTCACTAGATATGTTCACTGGAATACTAGTTTTGGAGGTCTAGATTAGATATTATGAAACTTTGACCTTTCTAAAGACTTTTTTTATTTTATAGGCGCTGTATGAACTTCTTAAAAGTAGCCATAATGTTAAAGAAGCAATTGAGAGATACTGCTCAAATGGAAAGGCATCTCAGGGTAAGAGAATACATGTTTTTTCAGTAAAGTGTGGTTAAAAAAAAAAGTTCTGTGGAAAATTCTTGAGTAGAATCAGATTATCAAGCACATCCCTGTCATGATGACTTTAGCACAAATTAGGTATAATCTGATGTTGTCCAGTTGGAAGTTCTGCTACAGAAGTTTGCAGTTTGTAGAAAGGCTGACAATTTGTTTTCGACCTTCCCTTCTTTCCTCCACAGCTGTTGTAATGGTGAAACAGACTGAGGAGAGGGGTGGTGAGAGACGTGATTCTGCTGCTATAAAGTAGTTCTCACCCACTATATGTAGTGTCTCTTGGAGATCATGATTGATTACAGTCTGATAACATTTGTACCAAAATCAGGAGAATATATGTAGGTACGTAAATAAGTCCCCATTCTGTGCTAACTTTTGTGTTATGCTAGCCCTAAACGGGCTCTATTGTATAGTTCCTTAGGGCATGGAGAGCTCTGCTTGAGTCTGCATTGGAAAATGGGCTTCCATCTTGTTTGTCCTTATTTTTTATTAATCCCTTAAATGAAAACCAGAGGCTGTCATTTAACAAAGGTGGTTTTTTTGTCCTTTATTTTTGCGTAAGTTTTGTGTGAAGCAGAATGGGTTATCAGCTCTGCTGTAAGTTGATATTCTGGCAGATAGTCCTCTACTCAGAACTGGATCCAAAGGGAAGTTGAGTGTATGCAATTAACTGCTGTGAGAGACAAGTATCTAAGTGAATATCAGGTTGAATGCTGACTGGCAGCTTAAGTACCACACAAACTCCTTCTGCCCCACCACTTCCTTTCCTGGTGGAGATGAAAATTAGAGGAAAAAAGTAAAACTTCGGGTTGAACTAAGAACAGTTTAATAATTGAAACAAATAAAAGAATATAATAAGAAAACTAATTATAATGCTTACAATAATAATTTTAGTGAAAGGGTAAGACAGAGTGATAAAACCTCAAAGACGTGAGTGATGCACAGTGACGCGGTTGCTCAGCACCTGCTGACCGAGGCCCAGCCTGTCCCCCAGCAGCACCTGGCCACTCCCAGCCAGCTCCCCCACTTCATACCCTGGCCATGTTGGTCTGTGTGTGGAATATCCCTTTGGCCAGGTCGGGTCAGCTCTCCTGGCCATGCTCCCCCAGGCTCTTGGGCACCTGATCACTACAGAGCACAGAACACTGAAATGTCCTTACTTACACAGTTTGGCACCAACTAAAACATCAGTGTGTTATCAATATTATTCTCATATGGGATGCAAAACACAGCACTGTACCAGCTGCTAGAAAGAAAATTATCTCAGCCAAAATCAGGACACTAAGGTCAAGCTGAAGGAGGAAATAAAGACTATAAGAAGAATGCTTTAAAAACTTCAAGAGATTGTGTAGACCTTAAAGTATCAGCTGCAGGGCTGTATCCTACATCCAGTACTTCTCTGGAATTTAGGTTCCTGTTTCAGGATTGAAGAATACCTCTGTCCATTTGTGCCTTAGAGGCCAAAATTCCATCCTAAGGACTGGTACTCCTTATCCATACCCTGTTCCCCAGGTTCAGATGGAATGTTACACCTTCATTAAAATGGTAAGGGATAGATGGAGGAGTAAGGCCTAACAGGTGAGGGAGAGGCTGTGGATGTTGCCTGCCTAAACTTCAGTAAAGCCGTTGACAGCATTTTCTACAGCATTCTCCTGCAGAAGGTGACAGCCCATGGCTTGGAAAGGTGCGCTCATCACTGGGGTAAACCCGTCTGGATGGCTGAGCCCAGAGAATGGTGGTAAATGGAATTAGACCCACCTGGTGTGTTCCCTAGGGCTCAGTATTGGGGGAAGTTCTGTTTAGTACCTTTATCAATAATCTGGATCAAGTGCACTCTCAGTCCATTTGCAGGCAAAACCAGCTTGGGTGGGAGTGTTGATCTGCTGGAGGGCAGGAAGGCTCTGCAGGGCGATCTGGACAGGATGGATCAACAGGCCAAGGCCAATGGTGTGAGGTTCAACAAGGCCCAGTGCTGGCTCCTGCCCTTGGGTCACACCAACCCCAGGCAGCTCCACAGGCTGGGGCAGAGTGGCTGGAAAGGACCTGGGAGTGCTGGTGACAGCAGCTGAACATGAGCCAGGCTGTGCCCAGGTGGCCAAGAAGGCCAATGGCATCCTGGCCTGGCTCAGCAATAGTGTGGCCAGCAGGAGCAGGGCAGGGATTGTCCCCCTGTCCTGGGCACTGGTGAGGCCACACCTGGAGTGCTGTGTCCAGTTCTGGGCCCTGACTGCAGGAAAGACACTGAGGGGCTGGAGTGAGTCCAGAGAAGGGCAGGGGAGCTGGGGCAGGGTCTGGAGCACAAGTGCTGTGAGGAGCAGCTGAGGGAGCTGGGGGTGTTTAGTCTGGAGGAGGCTCAGGGGTGAGCTTATCACTCTCCACAACTGCCTGAAAGGAGGCTGTGGCCAGGTGGGGTTTGGCCTCTTCTCCCACATAACCAATGACAGGATGAGAGGAGATGCTCTTAAGCTGCACCAGGGGAAGTTTATATTAGATATTGCAAAGAAATTCATGGAAAGCGTTGCTAAACATTGGAATAGATTTTCCAAGAAGGTGGTAGGATCATCATCCCTGGGGGTGTTTAAGAAACAACTGGATATAAGGCATTTAGTGCTGTGTCTAGTTGACATGGTGGTGTTTGCTCAGAGGTTGGGCTTCATGATCTTTAAGGTCTTTTCCAATCTTAATGATTCTGTGATTTTGTAATGTTGTCAGTGTCTGTCTCTTAGAGTAGCCATTATACTATGATGTGCTCTACCCCACTGAAGCTCACTACTGTTCTCAGTATGGAAATCAAAAATACACCACTCCCAGGCAAGTTTCTTACAGTGAGACTTTACATGGGGGTATTTTCTCCTCTTCAGAGGTTGAGAACTTTGCAGTAAGGAATGCAAAATTAATGGGGTTGAGAAAGAAAAAAAAAACCAGCTGTGAGGTGGAGTGATTATCGCTTTCATCTGGGAGCATAAAGGTTTTGTTTTCAGTGTGTGCTTCCAGAGATACTTTGAAATGTGTGAATGCATTTTCCCCCACTGGCTTTCGAGTGGAAACTTTTTGTATCACCATTATGAATGTAAGATATCTGAAAAATCCCTCCTTACATACATATGTATACCCAAAGCTACAATTAAGATTGGAAATTCATAAGAGCCATGAACAATTTTTGTTGCTGTTTGTCAAACCAAAATCCAGTTTTAGAAAATGCAGGTTTAATCAGTAAAAAAAAAAAAAAAAAAGAAAAGAAATGTACCATTTCTCCTTAAGAGATCTGAAGGGGTTGGAAGAGGTCTGTGGCTCTTTAGGACCAGGTGGTTGTTTTTTTCTGGATTCCTTGATAGCCCTTATTTTTCAAAAGCCTGGATCCTGTTAAGTATAGTCCCAGTCAGTTTGTCCTGCATGGCCGCCTGACCTAGGCTTAGTGCTGAGGCACTCCTCCATGGTGCATTATGCCTTTTCCAGGAGTGCACTACCTCACCAGGGGGTTTATGAAATCAGGCAAAGTGTTGTATGTTCTGGGCAGTCTGCCTCATGCTGGATCCATTGGCTGGCTGTGTTAGGTTGGAATTGCCCTCCTGATGACAGTTCATCCCACCCTGTTTCTCAGCTGTGATTTACAGAGCCATGCACTGAGGCCAGCATCCAGGCTGGTAGTTGGCTCTTGGGTAAGACATGGCCTAGACTGCTGAGTGCCTGAGAGAGAATGGGTCTAGCACTGTTCCTGTGGTTTGCACAGCAGAGCTGAGCTCTGTCAGGCCTTCTTGTCTGTGATGCTCACAGTCAGAACAGGGCCATCCATCAAAATAGGGTTTTCCTTGGCTTTTTTTTTCCAACAACCACTGTTCCTTGTGTCCTTTGTAACAAGAAATATTGGGAAAAATTACCACACAACCACCTCAGTGATGTTATCAAACACTATTTTTTGATGACAAACTTACTGAGACCAAAAAACTTTTGAAATATCCTTTGCTTTCAAGGATGAAAAATTTCTGAAATCAAACTCTGCTAGATCGTTCTTTATAAAGAAGAATGTTAAATTTCAGGTAGGATAGTTTCTCAGTAGGGGAAATAAAATCTAAAGATCTGAATAACTGAATTACTTCGGTTTTTTTAGAATGCATTTGGATATTCATGCATTAGGAACAAAATTTTATTCTTTGTAAAATGTTAGCGAGGAAAATCAAGTTTCTCATGCTACTTTTATAATTGTCTAGAAGAGATGACAGCATGGACAGAAGAAGAATGCAGAAGCTTTGAAAATGCACTTCTGATGTATGGAAAAGACTTTCATCTCATACAGAAAAACAAGGTTAGTATTTTACGGTTAAATGGAAGAGTTGGTAAATTATATGGTACTATATGAAGGCAGTCTTTTGTCAGAAGCCATACAGAAGAGAGAAATAAGAACCATATTAAAATAAATCTGGCATTTTTGAACTATTTTTTCCGTACTTTGCAGTAGTATTTCCAAACATCATTGGAAATACTAGGCATTGTGTTAATATATTATCTCTGAAATCAGTTGGCATTACTTCTCTTTATGCATGTGTATTACAATTCAGTTTAAATTCATGCCTTTCCTAGGAGTGAACAGTATTTCTATGCCATGGCTATAGGAGGGGAGAATGCATTTTTGCCTAATTTATTCTGTCACCAGGAAGATGCTAGTTTACAGAATCTGGCTGCATTCTGTGTTCTCGTAAGGTATAGTCATCCATAATATTCTCTTTTCTGACTCCAAAAAGGAGTCTTGGTTTGGATTGCTTCTGATTGACTCCTCTGTGCCTGAAGAATCAGGCTTTTTGCTGTTTTTATCAAAAAGCAATAGTTGACAATATCAGTGTTTCCAAATTTCCTGTATACCTCCTTTATACCTGTGATACTACATTAAAGGTTTTTTTTCTTTAGGAGTCTGGTGTTTTTACTGTATTTCAGGTGAACTTTATAGGGTTGTGGTTGCTGTTCAACAGTAGTCTTCTGGTCGTGCCCAATACCTGGTTTAACCCATTCTAAATAATTAGATAGTTCAGATATCAAATGGCCTTTACAAATAAACATTAATGCATCAGAGATTAAAAATGTTTTCCAACATGGAACAAAACATGTGTGTTGATGCATCTGTCACTATGGACCAGAATTAGTTTTAAGAAATCTACTGGGTTTTTTTTCCCAGGCAAAAGGGAAGAAAAGTTTAGGGAAAGTTCTGGGATCCAGCATAAGGTGATATGACTTGCATACAGCAAGTATCAGCTAGACAAGATTTAATGTGTGGAGGAGCTTAACAAGATGTGTTTCCTTACTGCTGCAGTGCAAAGCTTTGTTAACTGGGCCTTTGTGCATTAGCATATGGACACCTGTTAATTTCCTCCCCTTCCTGTCTGTGCCTAAACTAGCAAGGTATACTACTGCACCCAAGGCATTTTGGATTTGCCACTGATGTTTCTGTATGTGTGAAAATGCTCAAATATATTTTACTGCCAGACTGTATTGGATAGTTGTATATTGGATAGAGTTGTAAAACTGGAACTGTGGGTGATATTATGATGATGTGAAATGTTTCTGCATCAATAAGTAGATAAAAATGGAAGTAATGACTTTTTCTCCAAGAATCTGACTTCACATAGCACCTCCATTTTGGGGAAAGACAAACAGTTAACATAGATCAAAATGAGTCTTTGCAGTCCTTTATACCTTCTCAATAAGACTACAATATTATTTTGTTTAAGCATTTACTGTTGTGGTTTGACAACTCTGTTGCCAAAGCCTCCACAGTTCTGGATTTTGCCCAAAGGAATACATACCCAGAGTCTTTTGTGCTTCACTCCACTTAGATCATTCACTTGCTCAGCTTTTTCCATTGTAAGAGAGGATACCTCTTACTGTTTAAAAAATGTTTATATATGTATTTATATAAGTACTTCAGAGGTAGATAGAGTTTCAACCTAGTTTTAAAAAGAAATCTAATAACACATTGAGTAGAACAGATGTAATATTTGAAACTGTAGGTCTGTTTGAAATCTGCAAAGATATTTTCCAGAACAATAAAAACTGACAATATTGCAGGAGTAGGAATTGGGAAGATGACAAAACCATAGCCTTTGCATTAATGTTGTCAATTCTTTTTGTTGCCCTTTAGGTAAGAACCAGAACAGTTGCTGAGTGTGTGGCTTTCTACTACATGTGGAAAAAGTCGGAACGTTATGATTACTTTGCTCAGCAAACAAGATTTGGAAAGAAGAAATATAACCATCATCCAGGAGTTACGTAAGTAAAATGTTCTTGGAATGTGTTTTCTGTTGCAAATCGTAAATGTAGAAGACTTCCCCCCCACCTCACTTCTGACATTGCACTGTAAAGCTTCAGTGGCTATGGCAACTGAAATTAAATCTATCATCATTTATAGGACTTTTTTTCCAGTTATATAATACATTGTGGATGCAATATTATTTTAGAGACTACATGGATCGCTTAGTAGATGAAGCAGAATCCCTTGGAGGAGCAGTGCATTCTTCAGCCTTAACATCTAACAGTCGAACAGAAACCATTCCTGATCAACAACTAAGCATTCTGAACTCTATCACTGCCAATGAGTTGACAGGTAAATCAAGAAAAAAAAAATCTTGGTTGGAACTACACAAACAACTATTTCATTTGCATTTGTGTTCATCTGTTTTCCAGCACTGACAAACAGTGTAGCTACAGTCTGCCACAATTCAGATGTGAACTGCCTGGATGACGCTTTTCCTCCTATGGACAGCTTACCCCGAGCACCAGTTAATCATGTGCCTGTTGGAACAGAAGAATTACTTAACTTGCCTAGCAATGGTGAAAGTGATTGTTTTAATTTATTTGAGACTGGCTTTTATCATTCAGAGCTAAACCAAATGAACATGTGCAGTGAGGAGGCAGAAAGACCTGCGAAGAGATTGAAAATGGGGATTGCTGTCCCAGAATCTTTCATGAATGATGTTTCTGTAAATAACCTTGGTGTGGACTTTGAGAACCACACACACCATATTACCAGTGCCAAAATGGCTGTTTCAGTGGCTGACTTCAGCAGTCTATCTTCAAATGAGACAAATGGTTTTATCAATACCCACACTCTCCACCAACATGCTGCCCTTCATTCAGAATGACTGTGGAAAACTAAAGAAACAGTGGGTACTTTATGCAGTAGTAGTAAACTTGATGGGAGCTATCAGGTTTGCTTAGTCTTTCACTGGAAGTTTGAACTTTATGACATCAGTGATGTCTTTGTATGTATAGAACTATATCTTGATTTATCAAGAGTAATTTCTTTTTTCAGTCCATAAATGTGGAAATGTCATAGGATGTGTGGCAGAGTTTGGGACTAAGAGAACTCTGTGGTGCAGCTTTAAGCTCTGCTTCATTTTTTTTTCCTAAAGCCTGTAGACAGAGGCCACCGTTTCAAAACCAGCACAGAAGTTCTGAACGGATTGGAGTGGCTTTTTTAGTTTAAGTTACTTTTACCGTAATGGATGCAGTGGAATAACAATGTTTACAGGTACCAATCCTGATCCCTGCTCAATGTAGCATTCCCACCCTCCCCCCCCCCCTTATAAAGGCAGGGATGGGTTTCTTTATTTTAAACTGCACAAACATACAAGGATGTTTTTTAAATGGAACCTTCTCTCATGTGATACTAAACTAGAGCACTTCAGTTTACAAAACAGCAAATTCATGTTGGTGGAAGCTAGCACAAGGGACTTAAGATGAGAAAAGTGAAGATCTACACTTGAATGCTGTTGCAAAATTAAAGGTCATGGCTACCTTACACAGAAGTAATCATGCTGCCATAGACGTCTGTGTACTTCAAACTTAGCAGCTTAAACAGATGAGTTTTAGGCTATATTGTGTTTGGATAGGATTTGTCCACAACTTTGAAGAGTAATGCAATCGTGTACCTTAACTTTCCTAAGGCAGCTGATGTATAATACTACAGTCTGCACAGCTTAGGATTTACCACTAAACAGTCTACATTTGGAAGACATCTTAAGTTGTTTGGAGCACTGCAGTTCTAAGTGTTACAGTTTTGAGGGACTATCTAGTTTATGTAGTAATAGTAGAACCTTGAAGTACATGCTTGAAAGTTTTATTTAGCGTGGATTGCATTTATTTGTTTTGGCAAGTCATTGGCTTCAAAATGGCACTTCACTTCCTTGGTCAAAATTTATGGGATGAGTAAAAATGCATCCCATAAAAGCAAGTATTTAACTTCATTACGTTTCTTTATTTTGAACCTTGAGTGCAATTTAGCCATCCAGGATGTTTGTGTTGCAAACATTTGTTTCAATTGCTGCAGGAACCAAGCATAGTATTGGCTTGTGACACATCATAGCATGCAACTTGCAGGGTGTTCTAATGAAAGCTTGAGCCCCACTTCAGTAGGATTACCCCTGTCCCTCCATACTTTTTCTTTGCACTGTTTGTAATACAAATTTAATTGCCACTAATTTGTTTTCATTATTCAAGCGATTAAGTTTGCATTGTTGATATTTTTAATAGTTGCTTCAAGGTTGTGCTGAGTAATTAGAAACTAGTGACTTTAATATTTGAAAGGGAAGAGGGTATTTATTATGCATACTGTGAACTGCATTGACATCCCGAGTTTCAGATGCAGCATATGGAGTTTTCTTTACAGCATTGTAATGAAGATTGCTTTGAAGTGTTTATGCAATAGCACATTTATCATATTAAAAACAAATTAGTTTAGCACAGTGGACAAAAGTAGATATGATTTTGTAATCAGTTCTTAACTTAAACATCTGAAATATTTAACTTTAGTAAGTACACAGTAAATAACGGGTAGCCTTGGCCCTGTGTTGTACTCTTGACATTCTTAGCCAAGTTCTCAGCTTCTTACTGCTGTGTTTTGTGCTGAACTTTGTACCTTGTTTCTTTTGTTTATGAATCAACCCATTATAAGGAATTTTGTAGAATTCTGGCCATAATCTTCCATTGTTATACATTCAAGTTTATGGGTTTACAGTGAGTGGCTGGTCTGTAGAAAAATCATACAAAGATGACTGAATGCTTATACCAGTTGCACTTAAATGAACATGCCCATTTTCATTAGTTGATGCAGTAATATACTCAGTTTATCTATGCATTGCTGGGCTCTTAATGTAGGCAGAGACTTGTCTAAGGTTTGGGTTGTCAGCAAGTTGAATGGACACTTTAGTTATTTAATAAAGACTTTGACCAAAATTCAGAAAATGGTATGAGAGAAAAATGATTTCCGGGTAGTCTAATATAAATGCTGATCTTACTTAGCCTGTTGGCTAGCTAGCTGGTATCGTTTACTTTTAATTCCTTGTTAAAATGAGGCAATAATTTGCAAGATTTCGTAAATATGTAAATTCTTCATATCTTTTTAGATATCTCTTTCAATATTTTCTGACTACTTCTGTGTATAGTAACATTTTTGTGCATGCTTGATGTGACATTCATAAATTTGTACCACTATGACTTTATCCATGTAAAATAGCTATTTATTGAACTTTACTTTTAAAAGCTGGACTTAAGTTTTTTGCTCTCAGTTTAAACATTCAGATGGAGAACTTGTTACTGTTTATTAAAAGAATTGTGTTTTTAAAGTCAGCATGGAGATAACTGAATTTCAACCATATGAAGAAATTACAATGCCTTGGCTATTACACAAATATTGTGTAAAAATGACACAAATTGTGAAGCACAATTCTTGTAACAAACTGTGATGAATTCTTTGTCCTTTGCCATGTGTTTTCTTCATACAAACAAACCAAAAATTCCATAATGGGCAATTGCAGTGTTGGTAAATGTATCCTTTTTATGTACAGGGAATCTGAAGAGGGTAGCAGATTCATGTAGAAGTGTAACTGGTGCTGTGATTATAGCAATACCACAGTTGGTCACACATTATCTTCCCATGCTAGGTTCTTACGTGTTTAGTCTTCCTCTTGTAATGGTCAAACTGCTGAACTTACTTGAAGGATGTACAGTACTGTTTGAAGAATATGAAATTGTGTACAATTAGGTCAGTGAATTGTGCAATTGAAACTGAGAGTCAAAAATATAGGAAAATTTCAGGTAGGACACAGTGATACTACTTAATTTAACCAAAGTCTCTAATGAGTATTTCAACTTTGAATGTAATCTAATGGATAAACTGACCAACAGGGACGCTATTTGCCCAGCATTACAAGCACATTGTCTACAGACAGGGAAATAAAATACAGTAATTTGTAAGATAATGACAAGGTTACTATTTTTATTATTCATATTTTTCATTGAAAGAAGGAGGAAGATGCTATCAATTGTACAATAAAGTAGGAATGGTTATAGTCTTCCTAATAAAATAGAGATTCCAGTTATTCTCAGTTCAAAGTAACTACCCTGTGCATAACAACAAATCAAGTGACAATCGGAACATGTTTTAGCATCAGATGTTCAAGAGGAAGTCGCTGTTGTTGCATTGGTTTTAATATTTGTACATAAACACTGATTTTTTTGAGCATTATTTTGTATTTGTTGTACTTTAATACCTGGTGTACAGTTCCAGAAATAAATGTCTGGAAACCTTTCTTTATTTGTAGAGCTCTTCATGCATCTGCACGGTGTTTGCTACTTCATTTTGAGAGATACTTAGCAGTAACTCTGAATGCACTTTTAAGAACTCTGGGTACAACCAAAGCACATGCTGCCATCTACATGGTGGTGCACAGAGGAGTGAAAAATGCAGCAGGCAGTGATGCAGGTAGCTAATGAGTAATGGTTCTTGAAATTACTTTTGAAACATTATGGCTAAAGTATAGCAAATATCCGGACTTAAATGTAGCTTCAAAGTTAACCCAGAGTTCAGACTACAAGCTGTGGGGAACACATACCTGTTCTCTGGGGAAAAAAACTCACCCAAATTTCTAAATCTCTATCAAGCTAGATTACAGCTGTGAATACAAAAATTTTACTTGGCTTAAGCCGTAATGTTGAACTTAAAACAATTTGAAATACTTTTTGCCTTGATTCTTCGGTTCCGCAAGAAAACAAGCATTAAGCTTGGACGCTGGAAAAGCTGTAAGATCTTATGTACCAATTCTACCAGATGGCAAATGGAGTTAGTGGAGTTCTTTCCTAGACCCAGCATGCTTGTTTATACAGTGGCTGGCTCAGTAAATCTTCAAGTAAAGAAATTTTTTTTTTTTTTTTTAATTAGGAGTACAAACTGATATAATTCTAAAGAGCTAAAGTAATTTTTCAAGTAATGAGCTTTGCTTCCCCTGATGGAGAGATACAAGGATGTCTTTCTGATGATGGTCAGCACAGTCTGCAAAACAAAGTACCAAAACACTTCAGTTACAAGCTGCACCTCTCTTTTTTATAGTTGTTTAGCATAAGGATCAATGCTAGAATAAATGATAATGACTGACCCCCATCTAGTTTTTGTTGTGATGCAACTGTTAGCCTTGCAGTATGGAGTCTTAAAAATGGCTGTAGTTTAGTATATGTATATTTAATCTAAACTCTTCTCAAATCAGTTACTTAACTTACACTTCCATTTAGGTAGGAAACATTAGTTTCTGCCACTAAAAAGATAAGATGAAGTCCTTCCAGTGCTTAAGCAACAAAGAGCCAAGTCACAGAATAATAGAATATGCTGAGTTGGAAGGACCCATCAGGTTCATCCAAGTCCGGCTGTGGCCCTGCTCACAATACCCCAGGAGTCACACCATGTGCTGAGAGCATTGTCTGAACACTTACTGAACTCTGTCAGGCTCAGTGCTGTGGCCACTGCCCTGGGGAGCCTGTACCAGTGCCCAACCATGCTCTGGATAAAGAATGTTTTCCTAATATCCAACCTCAGTCTCCCTGGACACACCTCCAGGCCATTCCCTTGGGTCCTTCCACTGGTAATAAGAGTGAAGAGATCAGTACCTGCCCTGTTGTTTCCTCTCCCAGGGATGCTGTAGACCAGAGTGAGGTCTCCCCTCAGTCTCCTCCTGGCTGAACAGACCAGGTGACCTCAGATGTTCCTCATCGGCCTTCTCCAGACCCTTCAACATCCTCACGGCCCTCCTCTGGCTGTTCTCTAATAGATGAATGTCATATGGTGGCACCCAGAACTGCCCTCAGCACTTGAGGTGAGGCCTCTTCAGAGCAGAGCAGAGCAGGACAATCCCCTCCCTTGCCCAGCTGGTGATGCTGTCCCTGATGCCCCCAGAACACACTTGGCCCTCCTGGCTGCCAGGGCACTGCAGGGTCATGTTCAACTTGAACCCCAGAACCCCAGGGCCCTTTCCATGGCACTGCTCTCCAGCCTCTCATTCCCCAGTCTGTCTGTACAGCCAGGGCTGCCCCATCCCGGTGCAGAATTTGGCACCAGCCCTTGTGGAACTTCATACAGCTGGTGATCGCCCGTCTTTCTAATTTCTTAAAGTCTCTCTGCCCTCAAGGGAGTCAACAGCTCCTCCAAATTTAGTATGATCAACAAACTTAGTATTCCTTTCCGACCTTTGTCCAAGTCATGTGTGAAGATGTGAAAGAGCAGAGGGCCCAGGATGGAGCCCTGTGGAACTCCCTAGTGACAGGTGCCCAGTCTGATACCACCCTGTCCACTGTAACCCTTTGTGCCTGACCCATGAGCCAGTTCTCACCCATCCCAGGGTGTGTTTGTCCAGCTGTGAGCTGGGCATTTTGTCCAGAAGGATACAGAGAGCTAACGATGAAAGCTTCACTGAAATACAAAAAGATCACATCAATTGGCTTCCCTTGATCAACTGTTGTGTGCTATCTTGTCATAAAAGGAAATCAGGTTCAATAAGCAGGACTTTCCCACTCATGAAGCCATGCTGGCTGTGACCAGTGACTGCTCTAATTTCTATGTCCCTTGCTTCTCTGTTACCATGGACTGCCCAGCTGCAGCCAGGGAAACCGGGGAGATAGTATAGTATGGAACAGAAGAACTTAAAAACGAGGCCCTTTCCCTTAGCTGAGATGGAAGTGCAGCTTTATTTCTTGGGGTCCTGCAGAGAAGAAGAGCAGGAGGAAAAGAGGAAGAATATTGATAAGCGCCTCTTTTTGAAGGCAGGGGGAAGAGGGTGGATTACATTCACACAGCCAATAAGGGGAACTGGGGAGAAAGAGATATGGGAAAGAAGCTTACAGTTCTACATTTTCGGGGGTACATTCTTTGGGTCATACCATTTTTTCTAAATGCATTACATCAAATAATTGTCCTCCAGTTGTTTCTCAGTACTTCCCAGAATAATCTTTTCCATGATTTTACGGGGGCACTGAAGTGAGACTGACAGGCCTGTGTTTTCTGGCATCCTTCTTGCCCTTCTTGAAAACCAGGACATTTGTTAGCTTCCAGTCAGAAAGAACCTCTCCAGATTCCCAAGACTGCACAAAAATCATTGAGAGAGGTTTTGCAACAACATCACTCAACTCTTTTATGATTCTCTGATGAATCCTATCAGACCCCATAGATTTGTAGGGATCCAGTTGGAGCACCAAGTCCCACACAAGCTCAGGGCTAGCTGGGAGCTGATCATTCTCACAGTTGTGATCCCCCAGCTCAGGGCACTGAGATTCCCTTGGTCCATCATATTATTCCTTGTTACTGGAAGAATCAAGGAAATCAGTATCTGTACTCCTGATCCTTCAGACTCCCAATTGTCCCAAGTATCTGAAGACTCTTTTGATGGCCCTCAGACTTCTTGGTTGTCTCTGACAGTTTGAACAACCAATAGCAGATAGTGATCAAATAGCCTTACTAGATTGGAGAGCCATCCAGTAACATCGCTTATCTGAGCCCCTGGGAGCCAACAGACTTCCCTGTGCATTGGGTCCAACTGCATATTGGGCCCTCTGTTTTCCTTAGAAGGGAGTCTCCTATTAAAACTACCCCTCTTTTTCTCTTAAAAGACGTGGTTGTGATGTGGAGTGCAGTGGTGGTGTTTTACAAGGCTCAACTATTCCAGAAGGATCTTCATCCACCTCATCCATTGTCTTGACTTCTAGTTCCAGGGCACCTGTTGTAGCAGGTGCTAATCCTAATTGTTTTCAGGAGGAAGAACCTTCCTCCTGGTACATGCAGTGACCTTCGTCCAGCCTTCATCTTCAACATACCTTTGGCTAATTACCTTGCAGGATTCTGACTCCATCAGCTTCTCCACTACCACGGAGGTTTGAGACTCCTGAGAGTCTTGAGAGTGTAGCATCTCTGTAAATAACTGGTCAATCTCACTCATTCACTCAAATACTACATAACTTGTTCACTTCTTCCTCTGCTCCTTTACCTGGTGACACATCTCTTCAGCCTTCTGCGAAAGAACTGTTTGTTGGCCCAGTCTGAGAGACACTTCTGGCAGTCCATGACCTGGAGAGATACATCTATCATCAGCAGGTCTGGCTGGCCTGAGGCCTCTGACATGGCTGGGTCAGGGACTCCAGCAGCTGCTGATGCAGCAACACCACAACTGAAACTTATGCTAATATTAGCTTACACTAATGAGACTGGGGCTGAAAGGATCTTTTCAGGGCTCTTCTCTACCAGATACTGAGTCTGTTTATCTGCCTCTATTGATGCCCTCTAGATGGCCAAAGGAGCCCTTCCTGGTCATCCTGCTGTGCCATGTTCCTGTTCACTGCTCTCTTGGGTTACTCAGGGTCCTTAGAGCTGATTAAATCTGCCACACTGTTCCTGGCACAGAGACTGCCGAGGGTTTCTGGGTCCACATGAGGCTTGGGGCTGCTGCTCAAGTGTTGCTGAGCTCGGGAATACCATGATGCCAGCATGATCTAACCCTCACCCCCAAACCTACCCAGACACTTCTGCTGCCTCACTGAATCACTTGTTTAGTCGACAAATTGCAAGGCAGCAAACATTACAAGCATAAACCCTGGCTTTCAGTTTGATAAAACACTTTCTCTACTAGTTCTTGGATTTCTCTTCCCTCTCTGTAGGGGAAAGTAATTTTAAGCACCCAGTAAGTCTTGTCCCTCTGACAGGGGAGGAGGTCAAGATACCCCAGCAGAAATGTACTTTCCTGCTCCTTTCGTGTCGAGCCATGGGCCCACTCCTGCCCTGCAGCATGGCTGCTTATCCCCCACCCGCTCCTTTACTGCAGCTGGCACACACCTGCCTGCTGCGCCAACAGGCCTGACACTCACAGTTGTTTTAGCTGGCAGAACCCCACCACTCCCTCCTGCTGCAGTTCCTGACATGGTGTCCTGTCTTGCCAGGTGAGCTCCAGAACTGGCATGGAGAGGAGCATGCAGCAGAGCAGCCTGGCAGGCAGTGAGATGTTGAGCAAGTACAGCGTCACCCTCATGCGCAAAATAGAATTGTCCTAAAGGGCAGCTTTGTAAGGCCCGGGAATCAAATCAGCAACTCTGGCACCACCTATGGCCTTCCTGCACTGGCTCACTATGGCCCTTCTATGAGCTGTTTTCTATGAGCCGTTTCATCTCACTGCAACAGAAGAGAACAAAACAGCAAAGAAGGCCTGGGGTGGTGGTGGTGGTGTTACTGTTCTTAGATCAGCTCATGGGAGGGTCTGAAGAGCAAATGCAGCTTTAAGAGCAAGGAAAAAGGGACAAATGAGCAGCAGCACACACCCACACACCCATCCACTCCTTTCCTGCTCTCCTCCTCCCAGAGTGCTATGGGAGCTGCATAGGGAACCACAGACCCTACACCAGGAATACAAGTGCCCTTGACATCCAGCTTCCTCCACAGATCAAGAGATCTCAATAACCTCATAGAGAGCTGGGGAGAAGAGTCAGCTCAGGAGAGCAGGAATCCTCAGAGTCATGGAGCATGGTCACGCCCTTCAGCAGACTGGTGATCACTGCTCTGATCCCTTACCAAGCAGTGAAGACAACAAAGAATGTCACTAGAAGTTGCCCTGAGCATCACCATAAAACATGCTGAGCCATGATGCCACTGTCCTTGAGCTTTACTGGTTAACTCCTGCCGAAATAGCCAGGCTTCTCTGGCAGTGAACAACTCACAAATGTGACAGGCAAGGTTCAGGCCTGGAAGCAGACCATGCAGACACCACAAAGCTTTGCATTCTGAAAAGATGATGCCCCAGCAGCTAAGCAGGGGACCGTGGCTGCCCCAATCACTATCCAATTTGTAAAAGCACAGCATTTCTCAACTCCTCCTCTCTCATGAGCTTATGCCAACCACAAATTCATTGGGAGGCTTGCTTGAACCTTTGCAGTGAATACTGGTTTCATCTTTCTGAAAGCAGTTTGCAGACAGCAGCAAAAACTAATGTGGGAATAGCTGGCCCTGTTTATACCAGCAACTGATTAATGAAGTCCTCTTGCAGAATAAAAGCAATAGAAGTTGCCACATGCCAGGAAACTTTCAGGGAATCACTGGAATCAGGACCGGATGAGGCTTCAAGGCACACAGGTTTCCTCCCAACCCACAACAGACACAGCTGAAGCAAGTGGCTCAAGACGGCCTCAAGACGACAGTGCACTGTGCAGGCACAGCTGAGGGGCCCATCAGCATGGCTCCAAAATGGGCTTCATACAAGATTAGGACAAATGCCAACTTCAAGAAAACCAGAAAAAGACCTAGTAACTGTGAACTATGAGGATTAGCATTATATATTATTATACAGTTCAAGAGGAAAGTTATTCTTATAAGCTGTGCCCATTTTAAACAGAGGAAATGAAATGGAAAAATACTGCGACAGTCCCAGTTACAGACAACTGCGCAATCTAGTAGATTAAATGGTATGTCCAGAAATTAGGTTTTAATATTATGATCTACCTCATGGACAGGTGAACACCAATATGTAGAAATATCAACAACAGCAGACAGCTGAGAACCTAATGATGCAAATGGTTAAATCTTCATCTGTGCATCAAATGCAGACTATTTTAAGAGAAATTCAAGCCTACAGCTTTTCTCTCTGGATGGTAAAACTACAGCTCCCCCTTACAAAAATGATGATGAAGTACATACTGAAACAATGTACATATTTTATTGACACAGACTTCTTCAGTTTTGAATCTATTAATTCAGCTGACAATAGTGTAGTAATTTGAAAAAAGTTCTTCTCCTTGCTTGATGTCTCTGAGAGTGACAAGAACTACACACCTCAAGTGGCTGTAAAAGAAGAAGAAAAACATGTGAAAGCGAACAGTTACATTTTCCTTTGAATTGTTTTCAATTCTTCATTTCAAGAAGCTAAAGCAGTGGCCTCGCCTAGATTAGAGTAATATGCACAATGCAGGGCAGGGAACATGGAAAAACAACACTTGAAGACAGACAGCAAATATAAGCAAAACCAATATAATTACCAAAACCCCACCACCTATGTGAGTATGCAAAAAATGTTTCCACTCAATTGTTCCACACAATCATTCAGAGCAGAAAAGAATTAGTCAAGACTGCAAGAGACACATTTACTCAGACAGGAGCAGAAGCTACAGCAAAGTTCATGCAGCAGAAGCCACTCCTGTGGACACGCCTGTCCGTAGGTGCCAGCTGGCTTAAGTGTCTCTCCTAAGACCCACCACCACCCAGGAACACAGCACCTAACTGCACCAGAAACCTGCTGCCATCTGCAGCAACAGGTCAATTATCACAGAACCACTAGGTTGGAAGAGACCTTTAAGACCATCGAGTCCAACCCATGCCCCAGCACCTCAACTAAACCATGGCACCAAGTTTTTTCAGTTTTTCATCCAGTCTTTCTTTAAACACATCCAGGGATGGTGACTCCATCATCTCCCTGGGCAGACAATTCCAGTACTTTATCACTCTTTCCGTACAAAACTTCTTCCTAATATCCAACCTGTATTTCCCTTTCCCTGTATTTCAGCTAAAGACTGTGTCCTCTCATTCTGTCAGTTGTTGTCTGGAGAAAGAGACCAACCCCCATCCAACCACAACCACCTTTCAGGCAGTTGTAGAGTGATAAGGTCACCTCTGAGTCTCCTTTTCTCCAGGCTAAACACCTTGAGCTCTCTCAGCCAGCTGAAATCAGGGGCTGACAGGCAGTTTATCACTGAAGAAATGTAGAAACCCACCCCTCTAAAATTTGTTTTAGTAAACGACCATGCCTTAAAGCTGAAGTATGTTCTCTAGGAAGTATGCTCTCTAGGAAGGAGAGTACATGCTTTGGTGATACTGGTGAGCCAGGAAGTGAAAAACAGCATCAACCCAAGTCTCAACTATTAAAAGTTTAGGGGGAGGCCAGTTTGAAAAATACAAAATAAGGTAAGTTAAGTGTTGAGAACTCCTTCATAAGATACAAAAATGTCTAGAAACCAGATAATCTATGTTGTTAGCATCGTATACATCAGCACTGAAACAAGTACCTAGAAGCAGATGGGATCTTCCATCTGGGGCTGTACACTGGGAGAAATGATGATCAGAAGATGGTATTTTCTTGGACAGATTCCAAGCAAGAGCAAAATTGCCCCTTCCTGAAGCAGTCCCATAGTTTATGGGCTTTTGCGCTTCAAGTACAACATCCAGGCTTCCTGAGAATTTAGTCCTATTGCTTATTTTATTAGCATTACCTAATTATCTGCAGATTCCAAGTGCATCTTTAACCTTGACTCAACAAACTCCAAGTTTAATCAGAAAAGCCGCTTTTCCAGTATGAACTGTAACTTTCTCCAGTGAAATTTCAGAGTACTTAAATAACTCTAGAATTACATTCAAAGTTCAGATGATCTGCTCTAAAATTCTTATACATCCTTGAAATGTATTTCCAAGTGCTCCAATTTCTGAAAAAAGGTGTACTTTCAAGTCATAACCAGTATGTTGTAATTTTACTAATTATACTGTAACTGTAAGTCTATGTCTTTATATTGCATAGTATTTCACTTGTCTCAATACAATTTTAAGTTTCTTCTTGCAAATTCATCTGCTTATTTGTCACCTAATCAGAAGACATGGAGAAGAGAGTAAGAAGCCTAAATTCTGAATTTTCTCAGAAGGGCTTTAGTCAAGGCTGAAACAGATTTGAGATATATACTGAAAAGCCTCAGCACTGTAAGACAAAGTACAACTAGTGCTTTATGGGCTTCAGAAGAATTGCACTATAGTGCAACAACTGCTTGTAAAACTTGTCTTCAGAGCTGATTTCATTTATGAAAATGTGGAAAAAGTAATAAAGAGCCTTGTAATTAAAATTAGTCTATTCAGAGAGGTAACTCTCCCATACAATTGCACACATTTGTGTAACTCATCTTCACATGATTTGTTATTTTTCAACCATGTTTTTCTTTTCTTTACACATGCAATATGCCTTGTATCAGAGAAAACTATGAGCTCTTTCATTTGCTGCCAACCTCTCTATGTCATGGCTGTAGACGATGTTTGGAAGATACTGTTTCAGTTCTACTGGAAAATGTCCTGGCACATCAAACTCTTGATAACACACATTTGCTGCTTTTTCTAGGAATAAAAAAAAAAGTTATTAGGTAGGATTTTGAGATATGTAAAAACATCAAAAGTACTGCTACAGAAGAACCAGATGCTTCATCAAGCCTGAAAACCATTCCGCTGTTGGGAGGTATTGCACTCCTCCAAAGGACTATTTTGAACTACACAAGAGGTACGCATCAATGCTTTGCCCAGTTACCAACATGGCTACAAAGAGGAACAACTTCCTTAGTGCCTGGTGTAGCTTACAGAACTGCTAAATGTGCCAAATACACAGTGTTTGCTTTTACAATTTAAAAAAAAAAAAAAAAAAATAAATTGAAAAATATTTTTGCCTGGTGGCAGAACATGTAAGAAA